AAACCCAGAAGGACAAACATGGTATGTACTCACTCATAAGCGGGTTCTAGATATAAAGCAAAGAAGATTCAGACTGCAACCCACAGAACCAGAGAGGCTATATAGCAGGAGGGACCCTAGGATGACTGTGGCTTATAATAAGTTTTGGTTTTACTCAATTACTGAGCAAGCCTCAAACAAACATTTCACTATTAAGATAAGAATTTATACTGTATCAAGCTGATAACAGAAAAAAAAAAAAGCTGAACAGCCAATAGCTAGGCAGGATTTTGGGGCAGAGAGGATGATGGGAAGAAGGGCAGAAATGTGGCGAGTTGCCAGCCAGCGATGGAGGAAGCAGGAAAGCAGCATGGGCTTACTCTACAGAGCACAGGTAATAAAGCCATGAGGCAGAAAGGAAATTAATAGAAATGGGTTAAGTTATAAGAGCTAGTTAGAAACAAGCCTAAGCTATTGACTGAACTTCCCTAATTAATAAGAAGTCTCTGTGTCATGGTTTGGGAGCTGGCAGGAGGGACAGAAAAATCTGCCTACACTCAACTGCTTGTAAACTTCCATTCCAATTGATCTGATGTACTCTTCTGGCCTCCGTGGGCTCTGCACTTATGTGCATGGGACACCCCTCCCCATAATTGAAAATTAATCTTTAAAAAGTTTGTTGTGCCAGGTGGTGGTGGTGCTCGCCTTTAATCCCAGTACTCAGGAGGCAGAGACAGGTGGATCTCGGTGAGTTCAAGGCCAGCCTGGTCTACAGAGTGAGTTCCAGGACAGGCTCCAAAAGCTACAGAGAAACCCTGTCTCGAAAAACCAGAAAACCCCAAAACCAAACCAAACCAAAAGTTTGTCGAGAAAGACTCATACTGTACAAGAGGCAATCATGGAAGTCCTTCACCACCTCCCTTCAAACAACACTGGGGGCAGTGTAACTTGGAGCTTCTGTTCATTTACATATTTGTACACATAAAACGTCTCAACACAAATGGGAGACAATCCTGCTCCCCAACTGGCTGATTTCACGTCACAGAGATTATACAGGAAGCTAAACATTCTTCTGGAATGTTTACTGCACCTTTGTTTTTCTGTGGACCATTTGTTCATAACCTTTGCCTACTTTTCTACTGAGTTCTTTGTGTGTGTGTGTAGAGGCCAAACGACCACCCCAGGTGTTATCCTCAGGCGCCATTCAACCTGGTTTCCTGACAGCCTCTCACCGGCCCAGACCTTGCCACTAACTTTGCTGGGCTGGCTGACCAGCAAGTCCCAGGATCTTCCTGTTTCCACCTCCACAGCACTGGGATTACAAGCGTGTGCCACCACACTTGGCATTTTTAAAAAGTGTGTTCCAGGGAATTCAGGTTCTCTTTATGACTGAGCACCTCCTAGCTCTCCAGTCAAATGTCTTCTCTCTTCTAGTCACACACAGCAGATGCTCATTTCCTGTCCAAAGCCTGCACAGGGCCATTCCCACTGCATTTAACCATTCGATAATTCCGGTCTTTCTTTCTTTTAAGTGTTGCCTATGGAAGCCAGGGCCTTGCTAGGCAAGTGCTCCAGCACTAACCCACACCCTAAAGTTCTTATTCTTCATTGGAGTATCTTTCTGTAGCTCAGACCGATTTTGAATTCGTTATCTTTTGAGTGCTGGGATTACAGGTGTGAGCCATCATTCTTGAACAGTTACGCAACCCCACCTTCATGTTCCATCCTTGGACAACTGAGGTACCTGCATGGTGACTGGCACTCCCTCCACGTCAGCTGCCCTTGACTAAGCAGCTGACGGTTTACAAGAGTGACAGCTATTTAGTGTGACCCAGAGTTTAAAGACAACGCATTTGAATCTTTGGGGTGAGGCAAGCCTCCAGCTGGCACACCCTCATCAGCCGCTCTACTTTTTGTATGCATGGCTTCTCAGATATGTTTTCGTACTCTCTGAAGTTTTATTCTATTTTTTGTTGTTTGGAGACCAGGGCTCATGTGTCCCATGCTGGCCTGGCTAGTTTTTTAAGTCTTTTTCTTTTCTTTTCTTTCCTTCATTTATTTTTGAGATAGTCTCATTATGTAGATCAGATTAGCCTTGAACTCAGAGCTCCACCTGCTTTTGCCTCCCTAGTGCTGGGATTAAAGGAGCATGCTACTATGTCTGGCCTGCAATAAATAATAGATGGTAATAAATCAGATTCTGAAATTATGTCAGGCCCTCTGCACTGTGCAACCTTAGGGTGTGATGTCCACAGGCTCTCGGGGTGCATTGTACAACTCTACTACACACAGTAGGCTAGCCCATACTTCAAGAAGCTAAGGGTACTACTCCCCCAGCCATTTCTAAAGCTGTCACAAAAGGTGTCCCTTCCTGATAGGATGAGGCTGGGTGTGGTGCTGTTAGCTCCCAGGTAGGTTGGGAGGTACAGACAAGGAAGGAAAGGAGGGCACAGTCATCAACCTGTTGGGTGTCCTTCCGAACTTCGGCTTCTCCAGTTCGGGCTATGGCAAAAGTCCTAGTGAAAATTACTGTCTCTGGAGCCACTGACATGGCACCCCTACTAAACCTTAGGATCCGAGTCCCTTACCTACAAACACATGGTAGGAGAGCACCAACTTCTGAAGTGTCTTCTGATTTCTACATGTGCTATGGCAAGTCTGTAAACACAGAGTGTCAGAAAAAACGAACAAAAAACCAAAAGGCAAACCACAAAATGACTATTTCCGGGGCTGGGATATGACTATGGTTGAGCGCTTGCCCAGCATAAGGCAGCCCTGGTTCTATCCCCAGTTCCTCAGAGAAATAAACTATGCCTTCTTTAACAAGTCCACAGCTAGGATTAGAATGGATAACAACTCTAAATTTTGAATGCCTAATGTCTGTTTAAAGCTTTGAAATGACAGAAGACATCACTCTGCCCATTTTGGGGTCATTAGATGCTGAGTTGGGAGGTCAGTACTTGAATGCTCCTCCGCAAATCCTGAAGGTAGGTGTGTGCGTGTGTGCGTGTGTGCGTGTGTGTGTGTGTGTGTGTGTGTGTGTGTGTGGTGTATGTGCACATGCATACGGAGGCCAGAGATCAATTTCAGATGTCTCCACTTTTTTTTTTTTTTTTGGTTTCTTAAGATAGCATTTCTCCATGTATCCCCGGCTGTCCTGTTGGAACTCACTCTGTAGACCAGGCTGGCTTTGAACTCACAGAGATCCTCCTTCCTCCCTCCCCAGTGCTGAGATTAAAAGCATGTGCCCAGCTTCTCTACTTATTTTTTGAGATCTTGTGTGATGGCTTATCTTGGTTGTCAACTTGACTACATCTACAATCAACCAAAACCCACCCTAAATGTGGTCACACTTTTTGATGGCAGCCCACAGAAAAGGCCATGGAAGAAGGAAGCTCTTGCTTTTCTCCTGCTTGCTCTCTCTCTCGCAAGTTCATCCATCCTGCCGCTGAGACATTCCTTTACCGGTTTAGAGCCAACATGGGGATTTCAATGCGTACTTAAGATCATGTGAAACACCCAGCCTTGTGGACTGAACAGCTACTGGACGCTTGGCCTGTCAAGAAGAGCCATTGTTGGGTTAGCTGGACCATGACCTGTAGGCCACTCTAATAAATCTCCTTTATATATATACACATTCTATCAGTTCTGTTCCTCTAGAGAACCCTAATACACAGAATCTCTCACTGAACCTGGGGATTACAAATTTGGAGACTTGGCCAGCGAGCACGAGGAACCTGTCCATCTCCCTCTCTACAGCACTGAAATTGCAGATACGTGCCAGCACACCTGACTTCTACATGGGTGCTGGGGTCCAACCACAGCTCTCATGCTTGTGCAGCAAGCACTGGATCAACTGAACCATCTCCCCAGCCCCTGAAACATCATCTTAACTACCAGCCTCAAGGAATCACGGGGAAATGCCGACCTGGAACGATGTCTGTAAGGTCCATGGAGTTGTGACCATTTCCTGGTTGTCAGTTATAGTTTCAAGATACTAGTGTGATAATCTCTCTCCCTCCCTCTCTCCCGCCGGCCCCCAAAATGTCCAGACAGATGCATCTGCCACCGTAAATAGGGAATGCAGAAAGAAGGAACAAAACAAACCCAAGTCAGCTGGCAGGTTTCTAGCTGAGGTCTTTATTTTCATTTTATATACAGCAAAGGTGCTGCTGAGACTCCACAGCAGCCAGACAGAACATAACTGAATTCTCTCTCAACAATTAGCAGCTTAAGATCTAGCAACTACAGTGTTAACGTTCACGCGTTCACAAGTATCGTCTCTTTACTCTGCGATTCGTGCATGTGAGTCTTTAGTCTTACACACTTGTATAAAACACACTTACAGTCTAGTAGTCAGCCCCTTCTGAGGGTATCACCTAGCATACACAACACACAGAAATGTTTAACTTGTAGAGCCACATTCAGAATCCCAGTTTTATTGGGGGTGGTGTGGGAACCATCACTTTGCCTGTGCTGGCTTCTTGATGACAGCATTTGGTTTTGTTTGAGATGTGTACTTTCCAAGGCTAGAAGGCCAGAACACCAGAGCTCACTCAGAATCCAGCATTCACTGACTACCTTAGGACACAAGATCAGAAACAAAACCAAAGCCAGTGCAGACCATGCCAAAGCATGCCCACTGTCGGACCTGACTGGCGAGGAAGGCTTCACCCCACTGTTCTGGCAACAGGCGTTTGATGCCAGTTGGGAAGCACCACAGTATGGGTCCAACCGCACTTCCTAAGGAATAAAAAGCCTTCCTTGCCAGGATGCCCTGACTACACCGAGGACCTGAAACTGGAGCAGGCAGCCATCAATGCAGAGTGATGGCCAACTCTAGAACCACAACAGTCACCCAGGCCAACACAGCCAGCCTCACTTACCCGGGCTAGGCACCAGCATGGACAAGGGAATCAGGGAATGCTTCACTTTAGCGGGAGTTTTTTTATTTTTGAAAATTATTTTCTTGAGGCAAAGAAGCATTAAATTGTGGGCAAGTCTCTCTCAGATCAAGTGCTAAACCACCAGAAAAAGGCTACTGAAGGGCTGTGAATAGAAAAAGAGAATCCAAGGATAGCCACAATTCCAAGAAACTCAAAGGCAATAGGGATGGGCAGCCAAAAGTACAGGCAGGTAGGCGAACAGAAGTGTGTTACAAGCAGCGTTGGGTGCAGACAATTGTAGGTCTAGTGAGTGAGCAGGGATAAGACAGCGAGAAGCCATGGCAGGGTCTGGCCTGGCCTGAAGGGCCTTCCCAAGAAGGTCTGCTAGAGGAAGATGGGGAGTCAGTGCGGGTCTGTCTGTCTGTCTGTCAGAAGCTCCAGACTCTCCCTTCAACAGAAACTGCCATCAGGAAATTAGAGACAATTTTAGTTTATCCATCACAGTGACATTTCGGGGGCCTCCTGTGGAACTGTTAAAAAAAAGCCAGTGGGCTGCCACTGGGTCATCTCTCCCACAGCTCCACGGGACTCTCTTCTGCTAAATTATGGCAGTGACTGCTCGTCCAACAAGGTCATAGTGTCCTGTGGCACTCTTGCCTTGAAGCTGCAGTACTTTCCGGCAAAGTTAACCTTCTAAACATAGGCTTGGGGACCATTTGTTTTGGCATGAATATGTGCTAGTTTTAATTTTTTTTTTTTTTTTTGCCCCTGCTCTAGGTGCTCATTATGAGGTGAATAACAACCATCTGGGGATGGAGTGAAGACTGGGTACCTGAGTTAAAATATCAAAGTGAGAAGGCCAATTGGCCAAAGCAAAAGGAGGCTGGAACTGTTATGTAAACCATGCTTTCCAACAGACAGGGCATTGCTACCCTAGTTCTGAAAGAAGGTCCTGGTGTGGGGACATAGGCAAAAGCACACTTCGCTTCTCTGTCCATGGCACAGTACACGACTCCTTTGCATCATGTGGGCACACAGGAAGAGGCCACTGGACATGGCATTTGTGACCTCCAATAATATGAGATTAATCAGGCTATTTTGCTCTGAAGGTTGATTCAGGTTCCACCTGGGTCAGGGAACTGGCTGAGGGATGGGGCAAAGCTCAGCTCCTCTTCCTAAAGTGTCTCTAAACAGCCACTGAGCAGTTAGTGAGTCAGTCTGGGTTAATAGGAAGCTTACAACAGTTTGCACCCAGAACTTGGGTCCTTGTAACCTGACATTTCCTTTTCTGCTTTTTGGGAGAATCACCTTCAATTGATTCTCTCAGGCAGACACAATAAAGCTTTGAAGTTAAGGATGCTGAGGCCAAAATGCAGACAACAAGACTCCACATCACTTTGGTTTCGGTAATTAGGGGTGTTAAACAATAAATTAAGCAAACACAGGGAGTTATTTATGACTCTCATAACATAGTAGCATTTTTTTTTTCCTAAAGAGAATCTCAGCCCAAGGTCACTATGTGAACATTTACTTGGGGGGGGGCACACGACAAAATCCGGTCCTACCACACTATTCTGCTGAGATTGCACCCCCTCACTCTGCAAACCCCTCACCACTGTAACCAAGCCAAGCCGGGGAGATGGTGCTGTATGTGTAGTAGACACCAGAGAGCCGGGGCAGCCACAGGGTGGCAGAGGGCAGCGCTGGCAGCAGTCTCCAACTCAACTGTTTCAAGACCACAGGGGGCAGCACGCTGAAATATCCACACGGCTTCATTTGAAAACATCACTGCTTTATTTCAAAGGAAAAAATAAAAGACCCTCCCAACCCAGTAATGACCCCCCACCCCGCAAACAAACAAAAAAACCAAAACCAATCAAACAAAAATACCCCAATAATAATAACAATAATAAAAAATCCTATTAGAAATTATAAGGAAGCACTGAGAGTTTGAGTATTACATTCTTCAAGTATGTTGTTCGGATTTTTTATTTTTAAGTTGGTAACTATACACATATATAAAAAAAAAAAAAACAAACCTTCAAAGTGCGGCCAAGGGATTTTGCTTAAAGTTAGGATTAAGGGCTACTTCACAATACTGAACAGGACTGCACAGTCATCCTGTGGGCTTGATGCTCTTGCTTCCAATCCCGGCAGAGTTAAGGAAGGCGCAGGTTCAGAAGTCGTCATACTTCAGGGTTAGCGTGAGAAAGCCTGGGAGATGTGCGTGTTCTTCCATGGCGGGGAAAATCCACCCTGAATCTAAATTTCCAACCTGGAATGTGGTGGGACTTCACAGTAGAGTCAGTCTAGATGAGGAGAGGAGCCCAAGCAGGGCAGGTGTTGGGCCTGGTCAGGTTTTGCATCTGTTTAGGGGTTTTAGTGCAGCCCTCCAAGCCTCAATTCAGAATGCCCTTCAGTGTGTTACAGATTGTTGGTTCATGTTAAGGGACTGTTTCAGATTTGCATCCCAAGGAAAATCATGCTACATAAAAATGATCCAAGATTTTGCCCAAAAAACTTCTTGGATAAAATCTAAAAAATACTATTGCAATTGCGTCTCTTGAAGAAAAAAACATTATTCTAAATGTAAACAGATTCACTCAACTCTCTTGTAGAAAACCTCAGAGTGGGTAATGCTGCTGTCTAGCTCTCTTGGCATGCACTCGCCAGATGGTGAGGAGCACTGCTTTCTGTGCCAGCATCATCTGGGGGTTGAGAAGAGCCGGTCCACATAGCTGAAGAGGGCATCCCAGTGCTTCCAGAGAAAGGCAATGAAAGCTACCAGGAATAAAGTGCTGAACGTCCTGTTGCGTGTCTTCATGAGAGGAACCACACAGTTGGCTACTGTGGACACAAAGACCAGGAGGACTGCCATGACGGCCAGGAGGATGTTGATGAGTTTGCCCAGAAGGTTTCGAGCCGTGGCATTCTCCAGCCCTTCCAGCTGCACCACCTGCTGCTGTTGCTGCTGCAGCTCCATCTTGGAGATTCGAGTCTGACAGGCCTCCAGGGCCTCCTGTGGGCCAAACAGGGGATGGTTAGGCTTCTGCTCTCAGAACTCTAGGGCTGACATGCCCTGGAGAGCCCAATGGACATTACTCCCAGGTGGCATTACTCCCATACTGTACTCCTTGGGGAATAGTGATGGGGAACAGTGGACATACTTGGATTTCTTTTGCCTAAAATTTACTTACTTACTTTATTAGTTTCTTTTATCACAAGAGTCTCTTGTATCTCAGACTGGCCTCATACTTGCTATATAGCTGAGATGACCCTGAACTTCTGATGTTTTTTGGCTCAACCTTCTGAATGCTGAGATCATAGGCACATGCTATCATTCAAGAATGGCCTAGCCTCAATTTTATGGTTTTTATTCTTTTAGAAATTTTGAGTCTTAAGGTATACAAGCCACATGCACTTGTTTTACTTAAACACAGTTTCTCAGTATTCTTCTCAGTTCTAGTTCCTGTTGCTGTTGTAACATTGTTATACTAGTATGTTTACTCTTTACCTGTATTTAAATATACGTATGTATTTGCCTTGCATGGTGTTATTACAGGTATTTCTTACCATAATGTGCATAGCATTCTACTGTAATTGATCCACAATGTATTGACTTTTTCCTCAATAGTGGGCCTTGATGATTATGCCATGTCAAAATATAGGGATCCACCTCATTTTTGTGTGTGTAGACATGTGCATGTGGACACGTGTGCATGTTCACGTGAAGGTCAGAAGACAAATGTGGTGTTGGTCCTCGGGTACCCTCCATCTTTTGTTTCAGACAGGGTTTCTCACTGGCTGCAACTGTGCCAAGCAGGCTAGACTAGCTGACCAGTAAGCTCCAAGGATTTGCCTGTCCCATATTGCCATTGCTGGAATTATAAGCACATGACATTATGCCTGGCTTTAAAATTATTATTATAGCATGCATGTATTTGCAGATGAGTGTGGGTGTGCCATGGCATAAGTGTGGAGATTAGAGGACAAATTTCAGGGATTGGTTCTCACCTTCTACCTTTACCTGGTTCTGGAAGTTCTGTTAGGCTCCATGGTAAATACCCTGAGTGTTCATACCTGTGGGTATGCCACAGTTTGGGTCCCTCTTGGGGATTTTAAAGTTTTTTTTTTTTTTTTTTCTGATTTTTTTTCCCACTCTAACAATGATGCAGTGAACACCTTTGAATGTGCTTCACTAACACACTACCTGGTGTTTTTAGGTCAAGACAATCGCTGGTTGGAGAAAGGGAACTGTGACCTCACTGTAAGGAGGGCACACTCCCTTTTTAGGGCAATCTCTAAGGCAGATACTATGATGACACTCTACAGAGGCCATTAAAGTGACCTACTCCCCCTGAGGCAAAGCCTTATGTAAAGTTTACCCTACAACTCAAAAAAACAAACTTCATCCCCTAGCTAGGACAGACATCCTCCCATGGCAACCAGTGGCTGAAACGCTGGAATTTTCCTGCCTTGTCTTCAATGGGTTCTGGTTTCCTGGGATGTGAGGCAAGGCCCACACATCAGGCTGAAGCTAGTTCAAGAATGGATAATGGATGCTGCTCACTCCAGAACTACCTTGGGCTGAAAAAATAAAAACGTAAGCAATTTGCGGGCCTAAAGAAGTTGGCAGCTGGCAAACAGGCCAGTGCGTTGATTCCTCTGGGTGGGTGCACTACAAGCCCCTTTTCTCCACACGAGCTTCTTTCAAGTGCTTTCACAAAAACCACTATGACCTCTGAGAAAATCTCCACAGAAAACAGAATCAAGTGAGTGCTTGTCCTTTCTTCTTTCTTACTTACTAGTCACACTAACCTGGATGTCCCGGGCCCGTTCATAGGACTGATAGGCAATTTTCTCTTCCATGCTGGCCAACTCCTGCTTTAAGTTCAGGATCTCGTTCTGGTGGAGCTCTGTCAGGTCGTTCAGTTGCTCTTCTAGTCGTTCACATCTAAGAAATGGAGAAAGGTTGGACTTTCAAACACTCTCCATCCTCCCTGATATAATTTAGATCAATCCCCAAATCTACTCTACAGAATAAAACAGGAACACAGAGCGAAGGCAAGCCTGGGGTACTGTGCGCCAGCAGTTGCAGCTTTCAGTCTCCAAAAAGGCAGCGTCACAGAGCCATCCTACAGCATCCAGGCTTTTCAGTTTTCTCCACAGCTCTCCCGTTTAGCTCTGCACACCTGTGGAGCTGAGGCAGCTCTTACTCTGCTTTGAGTGTGGGAGAAGCAAAGCTAAACACGTCATCAGGAGAGAAGGGGCACTAATGGAAATAGACCTTCCAGCTGTCAGAAGTGACCTATTTCAACACCAGATGAACAATAACTTACTCACCCAGATGTTTGTGATCTGGAGCCCCAGAAAGCCAGAGCCAGAGGGATCCATCATCCTCATGGCCAAGCAGTGCTTGGGACATTTGTCAACATACGTTTATTGAGACTCTGCTGCATGCTAGGTATGTTCAAAATACTGGGACATTGTAGTAAGTAAGAGGAAGCACTTGCCTTCCATTTATTCTACAGAGAGAAGGGAGACAGAAAAACACCAATAGGATTTTATGGAGCCAAGACTGGCAGATAGCCAAGCATATGGCAGTGCCTAGTGACACTGGAGGGTCAGAGAAGACTTCTCAACTCTCTTGAAGAATGAGAAAAAAAGCTTGAATGATACAGACAGACGCTTAGAAGATGAGGAGGTTGAAGATGTGTAAGGAAGGACCTCACTCAGAAGGAGCAGAAGTACCAACTTGTCAAGACAGGAATGAGGTTGGCATGTGTAAGGGCTGGAGCTGGCCAGGGAAGCTACAAAATGGGAAGAAGAGAGAATGGTCCTGGAAGGCTAGTTTTATTTATCGATTTATCGTGTATCTCTAGTTTTCAGGAGGGCGCGCGCGCACGCGCACACACACACACACACACACACACACACACACACACACACACACACACTTATTCTACATAAAGGTTTAAGGGAGATCATCAGAGATTCTAGGTAGAAGAAAAAACCACTCAGAAAGAAATATGTAGAATAACTAGATTCTGGATAGCTGGGGAAGGGGTCCAAAGAAGACAGTGCTTAAGGAAATGAGCTGTCTGGTTGTGGTGAAGAGGATAGATGACGTTGGCAGTGTGTGGAGTCCTAGGAACCAAAGGGCTTCCAAGACAAAGGCCAAAGACAACACATTAAAACACCGAGACAGGGCAAAGGAAGAAAGGGAAACTACCTCCAGCTCCTGCTGAACAGAAGGATGTCCTTCCTGTGTCAGAGAGCAGCTGGGCAGGGCTCACACCACAGGGAGAACCACATGTGAAACTCAAGGGACTTCTATTAAAAAATGAAAGGGAAACTGGGAGCACAGCACGGTGCAGTCCTTCGAATTCCAGGAGCGAAAGAAGCTGCTGAGATAGGAGGAGTCTAAGTTTGAGGCTAGTCTAAAAACCAACCAACCACCAATGTGCCAGAGTACCATTAAAATATTTAGAACTCCTCCTTTTTTCCCCCATTTTCCCTCCTCCTCCTCCTCCTCCTCCTCTTGGTTGCACAGGGGATGGAAGCTGTCACTCTGCATGCCAGGCAAGGCCTCTACTACTGAGTTACAGCTATAACCACACTCTTATTTCTAATCACACCTCTGGTGTACAAACTACCTCTGTTTATGAATTCTAGGATTAGTGGCATCTATTACCATACCTGGCGCTCTCTCTCTCTCATATATATATATATGTACTTTTAAGGAATACAAAGAATTTCTCTAAGGTAATTTTATGTTGCAGAATCTGTGTTTCCCTTGTGTCTCTGTGCATCTTTGCATGTGTGCATTCGTATGCATGTGTTGTCTGTCTGTATGTAAGTAGTCCATGAGCAAATGTGTGGATGCCAGAGGAGGACCATGGGTATCCTATTCTGTTCCTCTCTGTTTTATTCCCTTAAGATGGGAGTTTCTCACTGAACCTGGAGCACGTGGTTTCAGCTAGATGCCTGGCCATTAAGCCTCTGGGGTTCTTCTGTCTCTGTTTCCAATAGAGCTCAGGTGACAGACATCCATGCAGCCACAGCTGTCTCGACAGGGTTTCACTATATAGTTCTGGCTGGCCTGGAACTCACAGATTCCCCGAGTACTGGGACTAAAGGCATGAGCCTTATCGACTGGCCTCATACCTATCTTTTTGACTTGGGTGGTGAGGGTCCAAACTCAGTTCCTCATTATGCACAGTGAATGCTCTTAGTCGAAGTCACCAGCCCATCCTCCAATGCTATTCCTTTAAATAATCATGTAATAAACAATGATTATAGTCTATTAAATTCTATTCCTTAAGAAATGAACATTAATTTAAGGAGTGATAGTCTGACTCTTTTCATTATGTTATTAAGTCTTACTTAGGTCTTCTTTACCCTTTACAGGCATCTCTGCTGTGCTTCCCTTCATGCTTGTCACAGAACAATACTCCCATGCTGACACGTACAACTAAATTGATCTTTGTGGGGCTCTGCCTTTTCATGTCATCTGTTACCCAGGGACTCAGGAACAGGTGTCAGCTGTAAGTTTCTATTATCTTTTTTGTTTGTTTGTTTTTTGAGACAGGGTTTCTCTGTGAAACAGTCCTGGCTATTCTGGAACTCCCTCTGTAGACCAGGCTGGCCTTGAACTCACAGAGATCCGACTGCCTCTGCCTCTCAAGTGCTGGGATTAAAGGTATGCACTACCACCGCCTGGCTATACTATCTTTTTGAACTCTTTTTTTTAGTGGTGGTGGTAGGGGTGTGCTAGAACTCAGGGCCTTATCCATACTAGGTGAGCACTCTATTAGCCTACTGTTGTGAGTGTGACTTTCTTCATTATCTTTGTTTACCAGAAGGGTGCTGAAACTTAAAACTGGACTTCCTAACTGTCGGTATGGCAGGGATAAAGCTCAGTGGTAGAGTGTACTTATTAGGTTCTGGTACAACTCAACACCAAAAACCAGACTAATTCCTTTTTTTTTTTTTTTTTTGGAGCTGAGGACCGAACCCAGGGCCTTAGCAAGTGCTCTACCACTGAGCTAAATCCCCAACCCCAGACTAATTCCTTAGCTATGGTCAGTAACTGGGACTGGGCAGGGAGCAAAGTAGTGGTGTCTAGTAGAGTGCATGGTGACAGGGCTGCACCCCAACCTCTTGGCCCATAGCCTGTACACACTCCTTTAACCCCAGAATTTGGGAGTCAGAGACAGATCACTGTGAGTTCAAGGCCTGCCTGGTCTATAGAGTTCCAGGACAGCCAGAACTACATAATGACACTCTGTCTTGAAAAAACAAAGCAAAACTCCAAAAGATTACTGGGAAGTTTTACTTGGAATTAAATGTGACTCATGTGCACCCAGAGCAGAATGGAAACAGCAACCAGAGAGCCACGGCTTCCTCAGAGCCAACTGTGCATCAGGTCTGCTGGGAGGGTGGAAGGTGTTATCTCCCCTCAGAAGCAGCAGTTAAAATTCAGAGGTCCCAAAGCTACCTGCTAAAGAACAGTGAAGGAGCAAAGATGTGAATCCTGGTTTGTTTGACTTTAAAACCTCCATTTAAAAACTCTATACTCTCATGCCATTTTGAAACTAGTCAAGAAGCCAAACAAGCTGTAAGGATTATGTCCTTAATCACCAGCCTGTGACGGCGTCCCAGGCTAAAAAGCGGGTGTGCCCTCTGTGCATTCTCTTCCTTTCTGTACTCTTTCCTTCCTTTCTCTTCCCTCCACGTGGTCTCTCTGTCCCCCCCCCCCCAATAAAGCTCTAGAAAGGTAACCATGGCTTGTGATTCTTCCGATCAGCACTCTCCTCAGCCGGCATGGCCGCTGCAGGTGGCGGCCAGCCATGAGTGCTGCAGCGTAACCAACGCAAGCTCCCTTAAAAAGTAAGAAATCTGAGTTGGCTTGACAGTGGTTCAAGTCACACAGCCACGGTGGCTCTGTTGACGTGATGGTTTAAAGACTGACAAGGAGAAGATGGCTGAGTAAAAGTCTAGACAGATTCAGATTAAAAAGAGAAAACCAAGTGTTAGCAAGGATATGCAGCTGGTAGACCCATTCTGTTCTGCTGCTGGTGAGAACTTTAAAAAGTTAAACAAATAATTCTCATAAGGCCTATATAATACCACTCCAGGTGCACAGGCAGAGAAATGGAACTTCTTTGCACCCAAAACAGGCCCAGCGATGAGCTCACAGCACCATGCTACAGTATCCTAGAAATCCCCAGATTCTGTATCCTAATGTGTTTGCAACGTGCTGTTCTTCACTTGCTGCTCACAGAGTATCAAGACATGAAACAGAAATGTAAAAGGAATGTGCTTTTCAACTACCTGTTCCCAGTTCCCAAAACCTAGCAAACAGGCCGACTTTTGCCTTCATCCCCCCATGTGGCTACTAGAGACTGTTCACTGGGACAGGAAAGTGCACATGATCTCTTCTTCCTATTATCACCCAACTTTCTAAATATAGAAGTCATATATAGAGGTGTATAACTGTAATCCCAGCACTTGGGAGGCTCAGGTAGGAAGACTGAATGGCACACACCTTTAATCCCAGCACTTGGGAGGCAGAGACAGGTGAATCTCTGAGTTCGAGGCCAGGGTGGTCTACAAAGTGAGTTCCAGGACAGTCTCCAAAACTACACAGAGAAACCCTGTCTCTGAAAAACAAACAAAACCCCAAATCATTAAAAATAAAATTCCCCAAACTATGTTATCCTAGAAGGGCAGTTTTGAGAATTGGGGCATTCTCTGGAAGGAGCCTATGATTTCTTTTCTTTCCTTTTTTTGGTTTTTCGAGACAGGGTTTCTCTGTGTAGTTTTGGTTCCTGTTCTGGATCTCGCTCTGTAGACCAGGCTGGCCTCGAACTCACAGAGATCCGCCTGGCTCTGCCTCCCGAGTGCTGGGATTAAAGGCGTACACCACTGCCGCCCAGCTCTAATTTGGCC